GTGGGATTCTCCCAATAGAGAGTACACACCGGAGTACACCACATAATAGAAAATCGAAGGTTTTGTCTTATCGACGTCGTTGTTGTCGCAAAATTCTACACGGGATTAGACCAATTCCTCGCCAGTGCAAGATTTTACTCCTCTCGGAAAGGAGAAAATGCCGCTAAATTCAAGAAACGAAATCCCAAAGACACCATGAACTACGATTTATTCAATTCACTAGTCCGCTGCTGGAGCGATGCCGTTCTCGATAACACCGATGAAGAACATGACCAGCTGATTCAACACCCTAACGTTAACGCTAGAAAAGCTGAGAGTTCGAAAGTTACCACAAGTCGTCTCTCTCCAGCAAAATGGGAGCTGATACACTAACGTGAAATTGGACGAGCTATAGGCGACCGCGTACTCACATCCAAACTTACAAATCATTGCAGGCAGGGGATAAAAGAACATTTTAAAAGAAAAAATGCGGCAGTTATAGTCAAAGTTGTAGAATCTGGGAAAACAATCGCAAAGGAAACCGAAGCTTTGCAGTTTACAAAGCCAAGATGGTTGCAGTTCGATGCATTGGTAGAACAGTTACAGCTTCCAACAAGGCAATGGAGAAAACATTCGCGCTTTATGCTCGAGTTTCTTTATGAGCCACGTCCTCCTGCCTTTGTATAAAGTAAAGGAAAATGGAGATAATTCGTACCACATCTTTTCCATTCCAAAATCCGAAATATTTCGTCGGTGAAGAACAAACATCAGGTCCGGGAAGGATAGGATCTAAACACCCGAAGAATCTTCCGCCAGTCCTCACTGCCTCAGCTTTCCACACGTTACATGTGAATACATGCTTTTTATTCAGTGGAAGAACAGAGAGCCTTGGTATTGCTCAAAAAGGGTGACCACCACGATTTCGCCAACTATTGCCCAATTGCGATGGATCACTTCTACACCATAACAAGAGTTATGGAAGTATTGCGACAGTACAAAAAACCGCTCAGTCTCACTTTCACCAATTCAAAGAAGGCCTTCGGCTCAACTGAGATAGAAGCAGTCATGGAACCCCTTGATTGTCAAGGAGTTCCTACTCGGTATATAAAGATTCTTCGTGAACTATGCAAAAGTTTCACAACCAAGATTTCACCATTCTACAACGATATTAACGTTGACGTCAAAAGAGAAGTTGGGCAAGGCGACACAAACTCGCCAAAATTACTTACCACCACCCTCCAGAACGTCATGCGAACATTGGAGTGGGATAATATGGGAGTAAAAATCCATTGTCGGTAGTTACATCATCTTCGCCTTGCTCATGATGTAACTGCTGATGACATGGTCCTTATAACACCAAACATTAGCCAAGCGGAACGTCTGCTTGCCGACTTTGACAAAGCCTGTGGAAAGATTGGACTTCGACTAAATCTCACAAAAACGATGTTTATGAAGAACGGAATGGTTTCGTATGACCAATTCACGCTCATTGGCATGGATAGCTTAAAATGCTTCAGTCATCTCTACCTTGGTAAGGTAATCAAAATGATGAACGACTTATCTCCAGAGCTGAACAAGAGGATCCGAAGAGCTACCTAAGCAGGACGAAAAGATCAATCAGTGTTTTGAAATGTTCAGTTGAAAGAACGATGCCAGGAGTATTTCGTATAACGCAGGTGTGGAAATTGATTCGGAGTTCTGACATACATCGAGGATTAAAAATTGTACACGTCGCCAAAATATCGAAGATAAGCAGGACTGGAAATGTAATGGGTGCAAACGACAACCGATATACAGGAGTCGTCAGTGACCGGTTTGTTCCGGTGTCACACCTGCTGCAGAAAAATCGCCGACTCTGTGGTCAGAGTTCTTCATGAAAACCCTTGAAGAAAGTTGTGATGATCACGAATTCCTAGGCGAGTAGAACCCGCTGGACTGCTCTTCCGCGCGACAGGGAAAGATGGAAGAATTATTGGCGCCTGCTCGAGTCACTTGACGATAAACAGGCCTATAAGTGATGTAGGTGATGAAAAGATAAAGGATAAAGCTCTCGACGTTGCTCAACTCACCAACTATGCGCCATGAACTCGACTTCATTAGGCTGGTTTGAAGGTGACTGAATGCATATCTAGCCTTTACAATGACTAGTGGTGGCCTAACGATGTATCTAGCCGGTATTGTTATTCTCCCAGACAAGTCTGGTATCAATCTGCCGACCCCGAAGTGAGGGAAAGCTTGGTGGGTCAAGGGCGCGTAAATTGATCACATGTGTATTACAGGACGCTTCCTACCACTGGGCCACACGCACCCTGATAATCGAATACATAGGGCATGCCTTAGGTACCGCTCAACATCGAAAGCTTTTTTTCGTTTCATCATTAATCAAGCGCCATTCCTGCTGACGAGACTATTCAATGAAAAGTATTTTTTTCATGTGACATTTCGTGGTCGGCAAGTCGTTTTGAACTACGAAACAATTGGTTTCAGTGAGGTTTCCCCGCCTTGTACATATTTGTCAAGCAGGTTGATGTATCTTCTTAAAATCCCTTAGACGTGTTACAAGGGAGTACTGTTTGATCCTGCGCCATCCTACCGGGGAAGTGAACTTTTGTTGCATTTGACGTCGAGAATCACTCCAAGCCATATAACGTGCAAAAGTGCTAAGGATATCATTCGACAAAACGTTAAAAAGCTTGATGCAAAACCAATGAAAATCATCCGGAATTGCGTTATAACAAGGTTGGTATATGTGATATGAATATAAGGATAAATTAGTGTTCTTTCAGTCCAATTGCTGTTCACCTTCTGATGCATAGAGCACAAAGATTTTTTTTCAGAAAATCTTCAGCACTGGCGAAGTCATATAAGCGTGGATGAGTTGAAGCAGAAAAGCAGACTATAATGCTAGAGATTAAATGATGCGAGAGCAATCGGTTTTTAAGAATTCAAGGAAGATGGGTCTAGAGGAAAAGAAATCCAGACAACACGACAGCATCGAGAGAGAACGTGGTTTGCTTGGTGCTGAAGAGTCAACAATGCAGACCAAATAGTGCGAAAGAAATACAAATGAATAAACGTCGTGATAAAAAGCAATAAAATAAAAAGCTATATTTTTCTTAGCAAATCGCAACCACTCGTAGGTGACACGGTTCTGTAGTAGTATCTTTTTTGCCATACCTTGAAAGACTTTGTGTTCGATACCGTTGACGTTCTGTGGTAAAGGTCTCTGCTCCCAGTTCCATGGCCAACTATCCGCCCTCCACTAAAAATTGAGAAGAAGGGTTATGAAAGAAAAATTACCAACGCAGAAGATTCAGTAATATAATGAATCTAATTTTCTTAAGTTAACCACATGCCTCTTATTTAGCATATTAAGTCTTTGTGAAACTGAATGTACGAAACGATTGTTCTCAGCCGAAAAACCCTAAAAAAAACACATATGAAGCCGAAAATAAATTAGCATAATAAAGTAATAAGGAAAAGTAAAAATATGACGTATTAGTCTTTTATGCACAGACTCGGATGTGGCGAAAATATTCTTTTCCGGTTGGTTAGAAAAGGGATATTTGTCTCCTTTAAAATTTCTAACATTCAGCTCCTTTTTTGCTAAATTCGTCCTTTCATTGACGTTTTCGATTTTGTGGAATTTTAATGACATTCTTTTCTGACGGTGCCTCTGATATATGAGGGCGCGTGTGGCGCAGTGGCTGGAGGTGCCCTACAACGCACACGTGAAATCGATCCCGGCGCCCATTGCTCACCAAGCCTTCCATACCTCTGGGGTCGGCAAATTGGTACACGCTTTGTCTGGGAGGATAGTTGCACACTGGCTCGATACATTGGTAGGCCACTGCGCGCCATTGTATGGTCCAGATATGCATTCAGTCACCTCCAAACGATGCTTAATGAAGTTTAATGCATGGCGCATTTCTGAGGGATTGGTCAACGCCGAGAGCTTTGTCCTTCTTTCATACTTCACCTCATTGGTCAGCAAAGAAGAAAATCTAGCTTGTTTAATGCATTCAATGTCAAGGGAGGTCCAGAGATGGAAGCCATTGAATTTCCGGTAGTTCTCTAATGGCTACAATTCCTAAACCGGTGTAAAACAATTGAGAAAGCAGTGAGAAAGAAGAGGTGAATTGTTTTCAAACTATGCTTTTTTCTTTTCAAAAAATGTGTTTTAGAGAATATAGGAATTCTCACACCGAACAACTTAACGTTTTTGCGAGCAACATGATGATTCTTGGATTTAAAGGAGCCTACCTTTTCACCAAGCACTGCCCTATCGGTTCCAATCTCTTCTATGCTTAACACTGAACCTACTCCTCTATCATTCTGTCGATGAGTTCTGAAAGCAAGGTCTCACTTGAACGCTCAATAAGGCTGATGACAAGATAGACAAAAGTGAGAATTGTTGAGGTAAAATTAGCGTGTAGCGATAAATAGGTAATAGATGGACAACTCGAACGTACCAAAAATCATTCATTCAATCACATCCCCGTTTGGTCTGTTGCTTCTTTCCTGACCCGTATTCATTGTAGGACAAAATTAAACAAGCATAGATTTACAACCACAAGGATACTGAGACACCAGAAAAAAAGCCTCACGTAAGCTTCGAAACCGAGATTAATGTTAGCGAGGACTTACGTGCTGTCCACTACGATAACCAATGCCCTTGCTATGTTTTTCATAGCAAGTAAATAAATTGGCAGAGAGGTAGGCGAACTAGGGGCCTCGGTTGGTGCAGTGGATAGCTCGTGACCCCATGGCAAGGATAGCCGCGTCTTTCGAAGTCCAATTGAGGTTCCGAGTTTGGGTCATATCTCAGCATATCTGCGGCTGTATGTGACGCTGTACTCTACCACAAAAAAAAAGTGGACAACAAATAAAAGAAACACTGTATTATCTTGGACTTGCTCACATTGCATCTTGTACAAATCGGTTCCTCAAACCAACAATGAACCAGTGCGAACTGCCGTGGTAAGTGAATGGTGGAGAGAAAAATGAAAGCACAAGAGCTTTTAGACGAACCGAGCGTGTTGGATTATTGGATGGAACACAAGCGTTCTTGAGATAATGTGCTTTCCACTCGTACCAGGAATCTCCTGGCGTGATTCATCGACCATCGTCCAACCAGGGGGTAAGCCAGGCACATTGGTCTGGAATATATCAGTATCTAATGTCAAAAATCAATATATCAAAATAAAATAAAAAGGAGTGAATAAAGATAAAAAATTGAGATAAAAACAAAAGCAGTGAACACCTCACTTCCGTCGCTTTTGGTTTCGTGTCCTCAACTTTTGTTGCTTCATGGAATCCGGTCGGCAAAGGAATTTTGTCGCATTCGGGCTGACCCAGCATTCCACATACCTTTAACGATAAATTTCCCCTTGGACCACTGAAGGTTCAGCAGTATTACGCACCGTTTCTTTGAAGAACACTGAATTCCCTTTTGCCATGCATTGCGATTTCACATTGTCAACAACGACGACCTCACCAATTTTGAGGTTCTTCTTTTTCCCTGTGACACAACCTAGAATATTACATTACTACTAGAATTAACCCCACCGACTTCAAATGTTTTTCTGAGTAAGCTAGATTTATTTTTTATTTTATTTTATTTGACCCTCGCATCCATGCTCCACGAAGATCTTCCAACTTTACGTGTGGCTTAGGTTGCTGCTTCAGGAGTTTCATTTCATTTGGAATGTCGCAGAATGCTGGTCGAGCAACTCTCCCTGGAGTCCTCAGATAGCCGGGCTGGAGCGCTCCTAGTTGGATTAGAGAGAGTGATTTTTTTCCAGACAAGTCCGGTACCAACTTCCCCGGAGAGATGTGAGGCTCGGTTGGCCCTGAGCGGAGTCGAAGTAGCTAGATTAATGCTGATTTTTGTCCTGGTATAATTTTTATTACCGCTTCCTGGTGCAAAAAAGAGAAATTCATTAAAAATACTGTAGTACAAGCAACGTTGCTATATTAAGAGCTCCAAGGATCAATTTTCTATTAACCTCGGCATTGGATTATAAATTCATCGTTTTATTTCTAAGCAGTCGCATTGTTGTTAAACAGCATACGTTTAATTCCATACAATAACACACATGCAACAAAACTGTAGCTGAGATTTCGGCAGAATCGGCTTCTTCAGAGGCCCTTTTTCCACCTATCTTTCACCGAGAAAGAACAGCCGCTCAGAGTAGCATATGGTTGGTCAGCGACGGTTATTTTGTATCTGTGTTATTGTATGGAAGCAAACGTATGCTGTTTAACAACCTCGCGATTGCTGAGAAAGAAAACGACGAATTTAAGAAAGAGCTTCGAAAATGTCGGAATAGCAAAGTGATAAGTATATGGGAAGATGTGAGCGGATAGCTTCGTACAATTCGCTCGATGACATATTTTCTACATGACTATGAATAGTAGAAAAACTTTTGCAATGAAGAAATCACATATTGGATGAGTTTCTGGGATGGATACTTGATTACATAGCAGGATACCTTCAATCGTGTACACGCCATACTTCTGACATTTGTACCTGAGGGCTCCAATCTGGAACTCTTCTCCTTCTTTATACGTTTTTCCATTCCTTCTACATTCCTAAACATTAACACAGATGTCTTCCTCGCTAACGAAACAACAGGACATCATGTTTTCTATGTGGATCTCTCTTTATTAATCGTATATAGATGTTTCAACGTTGTTCAACCTATTGCGAAAAACAGTAGTCGGAATAATACCGCGTCGTTAAAGCGAGATCGAGTTTTGTTGTAATATTTTTCTTCTCAGCTCTTCTCAACCACTGAAACACCCACAAATATTTTGAGCAGAATGGTGCATATCTGCTATGAGGAAAAGCTTTAAGTAAAGAAGGCACTAAAAAGTCTAGAAATTTTGCGAAGAGAATTAGAAAAATTGTTCACAGACCTTCGGCAAAACCTCAAGCATACTGTTTATATCCGAGAGATTTTGCACAAAATGCACAATTGAGCTCTTAGATTCGGTGAGGTTCAATGCATTTGCAAATAGCGGTAGTACCACGAGTATAAGGAACATCTGGAAAAAATCCTATTTCGCCATTGTATAACCCCAGAAAAACATTCAACCTTCTGTATTTTAACGTTGAAGTAAATGGATGTCATTGCTGGAAGTGGAAGTTGGGGGGGAGGGGTGATGGCATTTTCGAAGCGCAACGTGGAATTAAACGGCTAGGAAAGGAGTGCCAGCACTGTAGTTCGGAGAACAAGTTTTAGCATTAACACTTTGTGTTCCAATGACAACCACTTGTTATGAAAACTGAAATAGAGACAATCGATCATCACGCTTGACAGGTGGTCGAACAGTAAACACGATTGCTTAGTGGAAAACGTGAAAAAAGGCTAAAAAAAAACGGAAATCAACACGCTTGCAGGTGAAGATGCTTCAACATCTCGTACGACGTTTCATGGCACGTTTGCAGCTAGTAGATGGCATGGTTTAGCAATCGCGGACTTCTGGCTTAGGTACCCGATAACTGGTGAATCGGATGGGTTTCCTATCCTCTTCGAGTTGAGAAATTCATGTTGAACGAACACTTGAGAAGCCTTGATCTATTCAGACCCTCGTTGAAATAAGTACATGGATTTACATGATTTAATATTTTGTGCTTCTAATACCACAATCCTTTACTACTACTTTAATAGTTTAATACTTTACACTTTACTTTAATACTAATCCATATTACTTTAATACTTTAATACTTTTACTTGACATTATTTATTTAATGCTTCGGATCATGGGTTTTGATGAAGACGGAACCTCGAAACGTTAGCCGAATAAAGATCATTACTAACCTCGTGTAAGCCCAATAATATAAACACATGTTGATTGTTTTAATACATTGTGTTCTAATGCGCCATACAAAGCGTAGAAGCGTTCTATATCAAACATCACTGAGTCCACTGTACATAAGTGGTGAATGCACTGGCTTCTGAAGGGTCATGTTTTTATATTTCCAGAAAAATCTGGTAGAACGTAGGCAACAACGGAGGGATGGGGATTTTACAAGCCAAAGCCGTCGAATCGTAGCAGTGGACACACACATGCAAGTCGCATCAAACCATTTCGCTACATCCGCCCTTGTCAGTGCATGTTTCAAAAATCAGCACCGTTCTTGGTCCATTTAAGGAGTCTAGCTGAAACAATAAATAAGCAACATTGGAGCGTGGTTCAGTTTCGTTTGTCCGAGCTTTTTTAAAGAGCTCTAAGTGGAAAAAGCCCCAAAACGGGTCGTGTGTGAAAATTTTATGTGGAAAAAAACGAAGGAAAAAGATAGATAAATAGAGAGTACCGGCCATGTCCGGTAGAGAGCGAACTGCAGACAATGTATTTGTAGGCGGAGTTCGGCCAAAGTACAACACTGTTTAAAAAGGAGAAAGCGATTTCTTCAGGCCATTTCGAAATAACACTAGTCAGCAACAGATGTAGTGGGCGATTATCTACTATTGGCCATTGCGAAGAATGATAATACCTTTTCTCTAAAATGATATTATACCGACTAGAAATTGTATCCAAACTAAAATTTTCACTATATTCTATTAGAACATGACGACCAAGGCTCAAGTATGTCTTGACGACGTCGAAAATCATGGCGACTACAGAACCAATAAAATTCCGCCGGACCAAACGCCACCAACAACGATGGCATTGCTTTTTCTTCCTTGACCACTCCCACATTTTTTCTATAACTTGAAAACTTGAAGGATTAAAAACGTATAGGGCTTATTAAGAGTTGGCTTAATCAAATCGTTGCAGGGAATTGGCTATTTGGTTAATGCTACTATCTAAAAGTCAGGAGTGATCCATAGTTCTAAATCAAGTTTGCTGATCAAGAAATGAATTTTATAGCTTTGAATCGTGCAGATAGATGAAGAATTAAGCATTTATTAACCTCTCATCAAAAGCGACTATGAAGAATTTGGGGATACGCAGGACAATATAAGACCTCTTGTGCTATCTGCCGAAGTACACGAATTGAGAATGAGTACGGTGTTGTTCACGATGATTGCGAAGAATTCAGGGACGAGTAGTATAAAAATTTAATTCCTCGGAATCACAAGATACCAATGATAGTTTGTCTGGAGAACATTTTCGTGGATGCCGAAATTAAAAATGAAATTCAAGCCCGACATTTGGAAACTTATGCTGACCGAGGCCAAAAAAACGACTTATGGAAAGATGTGATGTGGAATTCATCTATTGGCAAGAATAAAAATTTTATGAGCCTCTGTCTCAAGATGGTAGCCGTCAAACTGCCACATTCTGGGCATCACTGCGGTTCAAATTCTATTCTTGAATATCATCCTATTGCAGCCCATGTTACGACGATGGGAGTATTTGAAAGGCCATTGGCAAGCCTCCACTTAGTCGTCAACGCAATAACGGCCAAGGATACACCTTATAGAGGATTAGACCGTATAACGAAGTTATCATTAGAAAAAGTGGGAAAACAAAAAGACTCGGAAATATCGTGTGTACTACCAATCTGTCGCCCACCTTCGACCTTCAATCATCTTCCCCAGTACTTTTCGCATTATAAAGAAAAGTTCGCACTCAAGTTATTCAGATAACGCTCAAAAGATGGCTAAACAAGCAGAATTTTACTGTATACCGGTAGCAAACTCTTCACTTTGGAACAGGTGGCATCTTTGAGGTAGTGGACTGGGCCTATGTGCGATTTTCTGGGTTAGGTCATGCATGGGTGGTCTAATAGTTGGTCCAAAAGTCTTCTCACAGCTGAGGACTCACTTCGAGGAATGACTCATCCGGAGCTCTATAAAACACAGACGTTTACTAGGCAAGGCATTCATATGAGGCTAATCATCTGATATGAGAACACCTTCCAAGCTGCATAATGGTGCCGATGTTTAAGGACGAAAAAGAACATTGTAAAAATATCCACTATTCCTGGCATGATTAGACACTTCTCGGAAACCTTGTTTAACGACTTACACCTTATAGAGGATTACGTGTAACGAAAATAGGGGTCTATTCTCGCTATATTGGAGACGAGATTTTTTCAAAGTGAAAGTCGTTTGTTATACTTGGATGCTTCTATGGCCCGTCCTTAATGAATGTGTGGGGCACCAGCACAACCTTCACTTTAACGGAGATTTGCCGGTCTAGCCAATGTGGTTTTCTGGAATCCCGAGATCAGCCTGGCCAAAGTCTGCCCCAGGTCGCCACCATCACAAGCAGTCGCCGCCATTGTGGATCAGAGGGAGATTTACCACCATGCGATTAATTTGATGCCAGGACGGTGGTGAATCTTGCTATTGGCTTACTCTCTCTAGACTTCCTGATGAAAACGCATGACTTCTTCTTAGTATGGAAGACCCTGCTAGAGGTATGGGTCCCACCGCTGTATATCGCAGCAAGACACCCAGGAGCAGCTGTCAGCCACGATGAGTCGGTAAACCGTTTGGAGGAGTTTATTATATATTAAATTGAAAGCCATGCGCAGACATTGGTGATTGTTAGAAAAAAATAAAAATGGAATGGAAATCGAGTTGTTATGTAGGATATATGTATACAGTTTTGCAGGGGATTTATTAACACATGTACACACCGCCAGGTTAAAGAGCTTCCTACTCAGTTACTTTATACTTGATACTTGAATGGCCCAACCCCACAGGTTGTGCAGGCTCCAGCATAACCTCCATTTTTCGGAGATTTGCTGGTTAAGCCATTATGGTTCTCTGAAGTTCCTAGGTAGGTCAGCCTACTAGCCAAAGTTGGCCTCAGGTCTTCATCTCCACGGGCAGTCGCAGCCCTTGTGGATCAAAGGGAGATTCGCCACCATGCGACTTTGATACCAAGACGGTGATGGATCCTGGTATTGGTTTACTCTTAGCTAGGTTTCCTGTTAGAAATGCCGGACTCCTCAGTTTGGGTGACCCTGCCGGGGAGACGAATTCCCCGCTGTACATCGCAGTCCGACACCCAGGAACACCTCCCAGCCACGATGAGGCGGTAAACCGTTGGAAGATCCTACTCAGTTGGATGTTAGAATAAAAGAAAAACATCTCCATGGTGTTCTTCTCTGTCAGTCGTAATCTGAAAAGAAGTATAGAAATCATTGTCGAAAATTGAGCCCACTTGGTGAATTCTGTACCAACCCATCTGCCTAATACTAAAGTATTTCTAGATCACCTACGTTGTACGCAACCCAACAACACAAAAGCAATGGAGTCATTCGATGTTACTTCACTTTATACTAACGTATCGAATGACGCCGCCAATTCAAGCCATTCTCGATCTACTCGTAGAGAGTGGAAAGGAATGAATATGTATGACTTATCGATTCAACAACTAAAGAACATTTTAAGACAATATCTTAGTCGTTCAATCTTTGAGTAGTCAGGAAGAAATTTTGTATAAATTAGAAGATTGGTCATCGGACAGCAAATAGCTATACTGCGGATGCATAGATGATTCCTTCGTCATCTGTTCGACACAGCAACAGATAGGCGACTTTGAATTGAACTTTGAATAGACAGTCGGAGTGTATAAAATTTACACGAGAAAAGCCAACCGAGAACTGCTTCCCATTTTTAATATTCAAATAAGCCTTTAAGAAAGTGGCTACAAAATAAAATGACATCGGAAACCAAGTAATAAAAATATCCAAGTGCACTGCCGTTCTCTCCTTCACACATAAAAATTCACTCATCGAAAACATGTGCCGAACGGCTGAAAATGTGTGCACAGGAGAAAAGGGAACGAATCACTAAACCTGCCACGAAAAATAGCCATTTCCAATAGATACGAAACAGAAACCACTCAGGGTCGGATAAAAACGTAACGATGTTTCCGAAAACAAGTTTAGAGCATAGGTAAGATACCTTTTAACCTCCTTCATACCAAACGAAATAAGTTACGCCGTTAAGAGGTGCTTAAGAAAAGGTGGTTTTGAAAATTATGTGACGATTAATAACCTCTCACCCAATACCGTACGCCGTCAACCTGCGTGTATATTGGATGGGAAAAAAGGATTCGAATTAAACAAGAGTAGGGATTTGCAC